CTGCAGGCTCCAGACAAGAGGAAAGCACTAGAAGAGACCAAGGCCTACACCACCCAGTCCTTGGCTAGCGTCGCCTACCAGATCAATGCATTGGCCAACAATGTGCTGCAGCTGCTCGACATCCAAGCCTCCCAGTTGCGGAGGATGGAATCGTCCATTAATCACATCTCCCAGGTAAGGAAGACTGAGGGACACAGCATGTCAGCCAAAGGGATCCATCAATGCTACCTTCACATGCAGTATGGTTTCTTAAGTTTTGAATCTCGAACGAGAACTGGTAGTTTGGAAATCGCCCCTACTCGCCATCGATTTATGAGAATATGTTTGCATGTTTAAAAAAAAAAAAAAAAAAAAAAAAATCTATATATTATAAGTGGTTATTCCTTCTTTGAAATGTATTCCCCCCCCCCCCCCCCCCATGTTCTAGTTTCTTAATGTTCTGAAGTTATTGGTATTTAATGAATTGCTTTCATCACTACCAAAAAATCACAAATGCCTTGACAAATTTCCAAGTTTTTAATTTGATGGTTGTATATAATGCTGAACTGTTTTATTTGCCCAGTTTTTATCATATTCTTAATGCGTGGTTCTTAATTCAGTTGTCTCACTTTGATCCCCTGTAAGTGTATATATTCAGAGTTATAGTCACATATAAGACCTGGACTATCAAAGAGTATGACTGGCTGAAGCCTATAATGCATGTCAGTGAAACATAAAACACATGCAGTACATGTCTGCAATCCATACACCTTTCCCCATTTTTTATCCCTATAAAGACCCTGCATGTACAGAAAAATGCCCAGCTTTAAGAGCCAGCGAACAACTTTTCCATAAGTGATCTGGGCAGCTCTAGATTTATGTAATGCTTTACATACGCATTGTACATTCACTTCAGTCCATTCCCTCACGGAGCTTACAATTTAAGGTCTCTAATACACATTCATACATATACTCGGGTAAATTTAGACAGGAGCCAGTTAACCTACCCAGTATGCCTTTGAAGTGTGGGAGGAAACAGAGTACCCAGAGGAAACCCACACAGGCACAGAGAGTACATGCACACTCTGTGCAAGATAGCACTGTGGTTGGGATTTGAACCAAGGACCCTAGTGCAGGTAGGCAGAAGTGCTAACCACTAAGCCGCTGGCTCAAGGTTTATCCACCTTTTCTAGTCTATAGTTCAAGGTAATTTTACGCACTCCGTCTTCTTGCAGCTGTCTGAACAGCATATTCTTCAGATGATTTAGGCACACTCTAGTCTAGAAGAAGACTGCCCATTTGAATCGAGCACCATCTCACCTTTTGTAGCCAGTTTGGGGACAGCGGCATTTTACTGGTTAAGAATAGATCTCCAACATAGATTCTTCGATTGGCCACACCTAAGAGGCAGGAAAGAGAGTGTGTGTGTGTGTGTGTGTGTGTGTGTGTGTGTGTGTGTGTGTGTTCAGATGTTTGTAAGTAACGCTTACAGTGAAAAGAGAAGTACAGTGCATATAAAAAGTCTACACAGAGAAATCATTTCAGAAGTTTTTTCCACCTTTTTTAATGTGACCAATAAAATGTACAACTCAACTGGAAAACAAACTGAAATCCTTTAGGTGGGTGGGGGGAGTAAACATAAAATAAATGTGGTTGCATAACTGTGCACACCCCCTTATAACTGGGGATGAAGCTCTGTTCAGAATTAAGCAATCACATTCAAAATCATGTTAAATAGGAGTCAGTACACACCTGCCATCATTTAAAGTGCCTCTGATTAACCCCAAATAAAGTTCAGCTGTTCTAGTAGGTCTTTCCTGACATTTTCTTAGTCGCATCCTACAGCAAAAGCCATGGTCTGCAGACAGCTTCCAAAGCATCAGACAGATCTCATTGTTAAAAGGTACCAGTCTGGAGAAGGGTACAAAAGAATTTCCATGGCATTAGATATACCATGGAACACAGTGAAGACAGTATTCATCAAGGGGAGAAAATAGGATGCAACAGTGACATTGCCAAGAACTGGACATCCCTCCAAAATTGATGAAAAGACAAGAAGAAAACTGGTCTGAGAGGCTGCAAAAAGGCCTACAGCAACATTAAAGGAGCTGCAGGAATATCTGGCAAGTACTGGTTGTTTGGTACATGTGACAACAATCTCCCATATTCTTCATATGTCTGGGCTATGGGGTAGAGTGGCAAGACAGAAGCCTTTTCAAAAAATGCAAGCCTGGCTAAATTTTGCAAAAATCTGAAGTCTCCCAAAATCACGTGGGAAAATGTGTTTATGGTCTGATGAAACGAAGGCTGAACTTTTTGGCCATAATTCCAAAAGATAGGTTTGGCACAAAAACAACACTGCACATCACTAAAAGAACACCATACCCACAGTGAAGCATGGTGGTGGCAGCATCAAGCTTTGGGTTGTTTTTCTTCAGCTGAAACTGGGGCCTTAGTCAAGGTAGAGGGAATTATGAACAGTTCCAAATACCAGTCAATATTGGCACAAAACCTTCAGGCTTCTACTAGAAAGCTGAACATGAAGAGGAACTTCATCTTCAGCATGACAACGACCCAAAGCATACATCCAAAGCTTCGCCAGAAGATTAAAGTTTTGGAATGGCCCAGCTAGAGCCCAGACCTGAATCCGGTAGAAAATCTGTGGGGTGATGTGAAGAGGGCTGTGTACAGGAGGTGCCCTCGCAATCTGACAGATTTGGGGGTTTTTTTGCTAGGAAGAGTGGGCAAATATTGACAAGTCAAGATGTGCCATGCTGATAGACTCATCCCCAAAAAGACTGAGTTCCGGAATCAAATCAAAAGGTGCTTCTGTCACAATCGCAAGATCGCCGCCACCAACATGCGACAATCACACGATCGCGACGTCCAATATGTCATGTTCGCGGTGTCAGACATCAGACCTTCTCACCCAAACTCATGACCGAAGGACTAGCCAATCTAAAACCGCCATGTGACGTGCGTAACAATGCCACACCCAGCTGCACCCTGCGCAAACGATTTTCCAGCTAATTGATCATAGATCGATGTACCAGCAGCCTGAGCGATTGTTACTGGGTCAGGTTAATTACGCGATTAACCCTTCACACTGCCACCACCTCCTTTTTGTCAGAGAAAGAGGAAACTCTGTGATCTCAGCTGAAACACCATAATGATTGAGATAATCGTCTGTATAAAACGGTCATAACACTGGCCTGTAATACAGAGGGTTAAACAAACAGTGTTCTCTTTAGAGGCAGGGATTTGTAAATTGCAATACAGAGCTATAGAAACAGTTCAACACTTTCAGAAAAAAAGATTTATTACTAAAAGGTCAAACGGGTGCAATAAAAATATTTACAGAAAAAAGATGTAACTGGTGTATGTATATATGTGTTGATGAACTATTGGTCCCTTAAGAAGTGGGAGGCACATATGCAAACTGTTGTAATTCCTACACCGTTCACCTGATTTGGATGTAAATACCCTCAAATTAAAGCTGACAGTCTGCAGTTAAAACACATCTTGTTCGTTTCATTTCAAATCCATTGTGGTAATGTATAGAGCCAAAAATGTTAGAATTGTGTCGATGTCCCAATATTTATGGACCTGACTGTATATAGTACATTCACGTCAGTCTTAGTTTAAGGGTGTGCACATTTATGCAACCGTATTTTAGTTTTTTTATTTTCACTTCCCGCCACCTAAAAGATTTCAGTTTGTTGTTCAACTGAGTTGTACAGTTTATAGGTCACATTAAAGGTGGAAAAAGTTCTGAAATTGTTTGTCTTTTTTTTTTTTTTTTTTTTTTTTTTACATCACAGAAATCTGACATTTTTAACAGTGGTGTGTAGACTATATTTATCTACTGTAAGTATTCTTCTCTATGAAATCTGAACTGCTGGGGTGGAACAGTTGGAAACTGCAAGGGTGAAACTTGCATTGGGCGCATGCCTTTTTATTGGTTTTCTACTTTTTGCTTGCAGTTCTGATTTAAACCTGTCATAAACAGGAAATTTGTACAGAGCTTGGATAGGATCAGATATATACTTGTATTGCTTTTCTTTCTTTTTTTTTTTTTTTAACCACTTCCTGTCCGGACACTTATACCCCCTTCCTGACCAGGGCAATTTTCAGCTTTTAGCGCTATCACACTTTGAATGACAATTGCGCGGTCATGCAACACTGTACCCAAATGAATTTTTTACCATTTTTTTGAGACAGATAAAGCTTTATTTTGGTGGTATTTATTCACCACTGGGATTTGTAATTTTTTTTGCTATGTAAATGAAATGTCCAAAAATTTTGAAAAAAAGTTTTTTAAATAAAATTTTGCAAATAAATAATATTTCATAATAAAATCTTAGCCAAAATTTATTCCGTTATCTTTTTAGTAAGAAAAAAAAAATCCAAATTAGTTTATAACCAAAAATTATAATTTTAAACATTTTTTTTTACATTTTTATTTTTTTTTTTTTATATTTTTTATTGATTTATTTTTTTTTTTACATACTGTCACCCTAGCAGTACAGTGTCACCATGGTGACACTGTACTACTTGTGGGGGATGATTAAGATTTTTTTTTTTTTTTTACACTGATTGCTTTTACACCCATATAGGATGTAAAAGCAATAATTTCTCCTTCTCTCTATCTGCATTCTTGCACTCATTGAGAAGTACTGAGTGAGCTGTGATTGGTCACAGCTTGTCACATGGTACAAGGCTTTTGTGAATAGCCTTGTACCATGTGACCTCTGTGATCATTCACAGATTTCACACGTAGTAAGCAATGATGTCACAAGTGACATCTTGCTTACTACTTTGCATGTGATCACTGATTGGCCAATCAGTGATCACATGATCGGGACCTCCTACAGAGGTCCCGTCTGACGATCTGTGTTTCACTGTGTCCGGAGGACACAGCGGGCACCGGATCGCGGTGCTGCGCGCTCCCAGGGAGCGCGCACAAGCAGGGTGCAGGGAGGCAGTTTATAAACGGCCACCCGACCCTGCAGTGCCACCGTCCAGCCGTTTATATGCAACGGCCGGTCAGGAAGTGGTTAAACTTCTGAATTCTCCAAGGTACAGGACCACATTTCATGTACACTAGACTTGTGAGCTCATGTTAGTGAAACCATTTCCAGGAGAAATATGTAGGTTCCCATCTTTTATTCCCTTCTGTAAATGATAGTTCCTTG